ACGACGACGGCAACGAGAACGTCCCCAAACAAAAGGTTTAATGAGCAAAACAATAGCTGTGCATGAGCGTTATAAATCTTTGTATATTGCTTTGACGTCCTGTGTTCTTCTCTGCTCCCTAGTTTTACAGAGAGGCGACCTCTTCGCTCTTATTGGTGTATTGAGTTGTCGCTTCATTTTCACTTGACAAATTATGACGCACTTAAGCCACTGGAAAAACTACTCTATTTCAATGTTTTATAACGACAACGTTGAATGTAACCATGTTTAATAGCTAGTGTTTTCAAATAATGTTCAGGTTGACAGTTGTATATCTCTTTCATTGAAAATAAACTGGCATTTATAACCACAGCTCACTGATCGGTTTACTTTCTGCAGCACGCGTGGGGATACTATAGGTAATGCAGGGAAACGGTCTAACGTCCCATGGTCAGACCGTTCTACAATATAGTCAGATCGTTCCACCTGTAAATAGTTTGATAAAAAAAAATCCTTAAAATTGATAATATAGATCCCACACGAGAGTAATTCAAGTGTAAGTTCTTAGTATTGACCACATAATCATTCGATGTAACGGCATCAAATTTGTGTGACAACAACTAAACATCACGCAACACGTTTCTTTTTCCATTATCATCGAGCGCGAACATTTTCTTGACTTTTTCTGCGAGGAACAATCCGACCATAATCCACTCCGTAAACGTCTTCTCGACTTCACAAATAATTTTTTTGAGGCCATTCGTTAAGCTTCAGCGTTAATCATTCAACTAGTCGACAATAATACTTCTTCGTAACAGAAGCAGGCTTCTTTCATGGTTTAGTCAAAGAAACGAATGTCAAAACTATAATAACATGAATGAGAGACCTTTCCAGATTGGGTGGTTTGTTTTCCCGTTACAGACAACGTCATATTCTCTTGAGAATTGTTATTTTGTTCATCTAAAAATTATTCTTACTATGAAGTTTCTTTGATAAAAATTTGGTAATAAAACAAACGACTTTTCGACCTCTCCTGTAGGTCATTTTCAAGTTCAAGTAAAATATAAAATAGCATACAAATATAAAAATAAATGGGAATGTAAAAACCTATATAATAATTACCAAATTTACATAATTACGTAATTGCATAATTACCGTATTTACTCGATTAAACGCTGCCCTCGAATAAAACGCCGCATTTTAGAGCAGAAATGTTAATAAGCGCCGCATCACGGGCAACAAACCGCCCAGGCTAAAAAGGTCTATTGAGTCAGCAGCTTTCGGCAGGGATGTTACTAGGCAAAATTGGGAGCTACTCGGAAACTTAACGAGAATAAGCTGATACGACTCTGTATCTAGCGACTGAGTTGAGTCTGAAGTTCTCTTTCGTTGTTTACTTCAGATTTTTTCAACTGCCTTTCTATCTCAAAGCGATGGAACTCCACAAGAGCTCATCATGTCAATCAAGTTTCATGACAGGTAAGGAGCGCCTCTTTTTGCCAAGTTTCACTTTTCCAGCCGAATTATTCTTCCTCTTCTCGGATAAAACAAGACGTTTCCTCGCTGTTCTCTGCAAAAGAGTTTCAAAAAGTAACTTAAATCTCATTTCTTAGCAATCGAGAAACGTACTAATTGGCTAGCCTTGTTTCTTCCTAATATTCTCCAATCGGTTCGCACACACACATTTCTCGTTTTTAAATAGTTAAAAATTCAGGGCGCGCGGTCACCAGGACCCGCAAACGTTCCGTGTGGCGTGATATTTGTTTTTTGCGTGACATCCATCCATCACAACAGTAGTACACAATGTACTTTTCAAACGGACTCACAGCTCGACCTTAGATCGGGGTTAACACCCTTGCGTAACAATGGACCAATCAGAGCTCGACATCAGGTCGAGGTTTTGGGCTCTAGTTGAGCGTATGACTACTCCCATACTCAACATTGGATATTTGTACAGACATAATTTATCTCACTTTACACAGACATAATTTATCTCACTGTACACAGACATAATTTACCTCACTGTACACAGACATGATTTACCTCACTGTACACAGACATAATTTACCACACTGTACACAGACATAATTTACCACAATGTACACAGACATAATTTATCTCCCTGTACAAAGCCATAATTTACTTTTGACTTTACTTTTGACTTTTAAATGAATTTATGGCCTTGCCCCAACTTATCTTCGTGATCTCATTAGTATAAAATCGAATTCATCATATAATCTTAGGTCTACTGGTAAGCTCTTATTGGACCATCCCAAGGGTAAGATGCTTCCAACATTGGGGGCCAGATCACTTTCAGCAGCAGCTCCGAAACTCTGGAATGGCCTACCTGAAGAGCTTTGTCAAGCAACATCACTTGACAGTTTTAAATCTCAACTTAAGACTTATCTTTTTAAGAAGTATTTTTATAATTTATAATTTTATTTTATTTTTATGGTGATTGTAAAGCGCTATTGATCAGAATATGAAAATATGCGCCATATAAATTGGTAAATTATTATTATTATTATTATTATTATTCTTAGAAGTAGTACGGAGTTGGCATATTCTTTAAACAATGCGAGATCGTGATTATTTTACGTACTTAGATTTAAATTTTGAATCTGATATGCATTTAAGTAACTCTCACCTGTTGATTATTTACACTGCTGTTGCTACTGTAACAGCTAATATGACCTGGAGTTTAAAAAAATATGTCTTGTAAGATCAAATTCGCATCTAACTGCAAGAAACATTTAGATTCACTTTGAATATCGAATGAGAAATAAATAAAGGCCATTAGTAAATACTCAATCGAGAGTTATGGCATTTTATTACCTTTCTGGTACTTGGCTCCCAAACCATGGTTTACAGCGAATATTCAAGATTTAACCTAAACTGGAATATGGACTAACGATGTGTTCAAAATTTTTTCCCGGCATGGGGCAAGTCATCATCCTAATCTTGCAGTGGGTCATGGGACGGAAAGTTACATTGTCCCCTGTAACGATCTCGTGAGGTAAGACTCAACCCAGGTTTCTTCATGTTTGTAAAGTGGCGAATTCACTCTTGTTGGATGTAAAGCCATTACAGTTAACATGTCAGTCATCTAGGCTGAGGGCGCGAGATCACTGACATTTCAGGCTAATCAATTCTGAGCTACGCGCCTCCTTGGTTGTGTTATCCCTTCTTATCCAACACAATCTCTTGGTACAATTGTCAAATAGTTGTTGTGGCTGTTGTTGTTATTTTTCTCAGTTGCTTCAGCACATAAAATATGGATCATCGAACAAACAACCAGCTATACTTGCATGACCAAAAATACATACAGTGTTGCAAAAGCTTTCGTAGACTAAAACTAAAACAGTAATGATTATCGTGAACATATAACAATGATATAGCAATCAAGTTACATTGGTCTGATTTGAAAGAAGAATATTGCGTAGATCAAAGCAAGATGAAATGAAATTTGCTAATTGAATATTAATTAACATAATGATCTGTAATACCTTGCATAGAGGAAGCAGATTCTTTTCCGCAAAACGCCTCCCTGCTGCCGGGCAGCTGAAAATACATTTATGGTTACAACAAATTAGTTGTGCATAAGAGGTATATTCCGTACCGCATTCTTCTGATTGTTAATATAACCGCCCTGAATTCATTTCGAGATGATGTCACCACCTGCATAGTGTGACCGACTGGCAAAAGCTCTGCAATGAGATCTGAAGGAATATTTCAAAGTACCTCCTTCTTCCATCATAAATAAACCAGCTACACGGACAAAATCCGACTACGATACCGGACATAGTGTCATGATCAATTTAGAGAAAAAGGAAGCTCTCATTAAATTATGATGGTTCCGTTGTTTTTCTAGTTTTCTTTCTTTCCGGTTGTTTAATTCTATCCTTTTCTCAGCTGTAAAAGTAACTGTCCTCCGATGTTAACAAAAATGCAAACACATGAAAATGATTTAAAATTTAATCTTTCAACTTACCTCATCTTCCGTAACTAAGTACAGGACTGAACTTCCTTTCAGTTTGCTGTTAATAGTTTTGCCATCCCAGACACGGCGGTCACCATGAAATTCAAGTCTAGCACTGTTCTGAGTTCCACGTGCTGCACAAGAGAATCTAAATTCAAGAAAGCCTCAAGATAGTCAATACAATGTGCCAGACAGGAAAAGAGGAGAGTTATGGTGACGCGGTGATAATTCAATAAGAAAGTACACACCTTTATTGTAGTCATGCCAACAAACAAAGAACAAAAAAAACAGGGAGAAGTTCCTCTTAAAATGTTTTATTCTCCCAATCACTTGTAATCAACCTGCCCAAATTAATTCTGCCAGATTCCTCGTCAGTGGCAATAATCAAGTCCCAGGTTGATCATACGTACGTAGATAAGTTTCTTAGAGTAGTAAAAGAATGAGAGAAGGAATTCCCAATGCTTGCTTTAAGCCAAACTGTACTGTAAGGACAATCTACACTGCACCTACGGCAACCTTTGCTGGCGTTGTTGCATATCTCTCATTTTGAAATTCACCCGATGGAAAAATAACAAATAAGAGAGTTAAGAACAAGGTTACAAATTTAGCCGTAGTGCCGAGCAACATTAAAGTTACATTTACTACAGTACTTACTTAGTGGAACAGCTGCTATTTTTTATCATTTTTAGTTTGTAAAAGCTAAAAGAACTTTTCAATACATTTTTGCTATGGGGAAATAAAAAACAACTGAGAACACCGACGCCAACAAAGATCATCCTTAATTGTGCCATACCTTCTATTTTGCAAGAGAGGGAAGTTCTCCTCAAGTACACTTCTTACTTCACCACTAGTCATGTCTCGAGGAAAGTTTACCCTGGTCTTAAACCGCCCGGGCTTCCTCTTGATTCGGTCTATTTGACTGAGACTTTTTGTCAACACATCACCATTTTCCATCACTCTCACGTCTTCACGTTCGAACAAAACAACATTTTTCAGCCTTTTCCTCTGGGAAACCAAAAAGCTTTGGAGATCCATCACTGAGAACAGAGAAGGAACCAAGAACATGGATTCTAGCCAGGATACGATAAGTCAGATTTTAGGAGGGTTTGCTAGTTCTGGAAAGAAACATAGTAAACAATCGCTTTAAATGTTTATACGCAGTTAATCATGAGGATTAGGCACCTGCAGTTCAAGGAAATAAAAAAGCTATTGCTAGATAGACTGGGGGAATCTGGAACTCATCAAAATTGTCAAGAAAACAAAGATCTCTATTAAAGACATCAGACACAAAGAGCTAAGGCTTTATGACCCCAAAACCTCATACAAAGAGGAAATAATGAATTAGTACAAAAATATGCATGGAATTTCAATAGTGCAAAATTCAAGTTCAATTGAGTACAATTTGTAGCTCAAAAGTCTAAACAGTACAGTAGTCTGCGAGTAGGCTCTTCGCGCCGAAAAAAAAAGTAGGAAAGGAAAAGGGGGATTTCCCCTTTCCGCTAACCTCTGTTCGCCTGGGTTATAAACAGAGGGGCTCATATCCCGGGGGAGGGGGAGGTGGCGGCTAATAAGCGGAATAAATACAAATTGTTTCGAAATTAGTTACTGGAAATATGAATTACATTTACTGGTTTTTGATTAAGCTTTAAACATCATAATATCGGAAGTAGTATTTTTTCTACAGGCAGATGGGCCTATAAGGGGGGGAGGTTATATATTTACACAATGATCAGTATAGACACGCAAATGGTTGTACAGTACTAATAAGCGATTTTGAGTCAAGAAATATGTTTGTGTTGGTCAAGTATAAGCCTGACATAACACATCGGCCTAGAGTCTTAAAATAACGAAGCAATTCGTCATATTTGATATTTACAAGTTTTATGTCACTCGATCAGGGTTAGGAGACATTCATTTTCCTTTCTGTTCCTCTGAGTACTGAATTAATTGTATAGCCGGTCGGTTGCTTTGCTATCCTACTCAGAAGCAACCAAATTAGCTGGTTTCTTTTAAAGTGTCTCGATACAGTTTTTTTCTGGACCATGCCAAACACTTCCAAATTATCAGATTTTTAACAGCCTTTCCTTAATCGGATCGATATGAAAATTACAGCAGTAATTGGAAATGGTTGAGGTTTGGTATAATGTATCTTTTAAGGCAATCAATATTTCCATGGAAACGATAAACCGACATGGGTTAGATTAATGACGATGATTTCCTTCTCCTGTATCTGTCTTGCATCTACCAGAACTTAAATTTGCCACTTAGAACCACCTGTAATTCCAACCACAAAGGAAAATAACAGATAAAAAGCTCGATTTCAGCACGGGCAAGGTGTTCCTACAGTGTGATAAGCCCGAAAATACAGATTCTTACCAAAGTTAAACACATTTGTCCCATTTTGAACAACAATAAATAATTATAGCTCAGCTTAGCATATACGATGCTTTCTTACACTGCGGCCATTCGGCCTGTCACCAATATGACTGTTGCTCACGGTAGGTGCATGTTTTAAAAATTGTTCAACTTTTCTGTACATTTGACAAAGATACAGTTATCTTAGAACGGATTTTTACGATTCACTACTTTGTCTTCGAACTTGGCGGTTCAAACAGTGAAAAAAAAAAACGTTTAAATGAGAAATAAACAACGTGCTTATACTCGAGTAGTGAAGAGTACGTAAAACCAGGCACTTTCCCGTAGAAGAACGCAATTTAATAGGGACGTGAAGATCACTTCCAGTGACATCATGACACGCGTTCTGAGTACGGCTTTAAATAGGGACGAAGGGGACACCCGGGGAGAACCCCAGCGGGGGTGTTTGTCGCACCTTTAAGGGGGTAAAAACGCGGTTTTGGTACCTCTTGGGATGTTCAGCCTCAAAAGGTCCACAGCAGGAGCTTTCACGTACCTTCTAGGGTATTGAGCCGAAAAAATTATGACAGCAGGAGATCACTGGCAATCAACTTTACGAGTAGAAGGTATAGACGCAATCGTTTTTATCGCTATTAAAAATTATGAAAGTGTCAGTTAATCTGTTCTTTCAGAATTGGTACTTCTTAATTAGGGGTGAAAAACACTTTAAGCCAAGCTCACAAAACAAGATCTTGGTACCTCTTAGGGGTTCTTTACAAAATTTCCGACGAGCACCACCGTCCTTCATATATGTGAGTTACCTCCCCTGGAGGAGGAGACGATTTCTCGGCCATTCTTTCAGCATTATCAACATGATAACCAACATGACAGCTACTTGAATTGCAGCAGCCTCTCAAGCCGTTACCAAGAGTCTTAGGATTGGATGTCAAATCTAAATTCCTTAACACTATGTGACTCCAAATTTCGGGTGATGTAGCAGTTCTCGTAACATATAATATGATTGCCAGCTACCCCGGCCAAAAACAAAAGACCAGTGACTTAGACTTAAAAACAATAGAAGCTGCTTACAATACCAAACAAAAGCAGGTTATGAGAGCCGCTACACTAGCGCAAATTTTGAATGACTGATTGTTTTGGTCAGTGGATCAAAACATTCCCAACTGTGTAGTGAGGGTAAATTCTGCCAATCGTGTCAGGAGACATAGTTACATTTCATTGATCGACAAGTTTGAGGTTCCATATTTTCATGAGTTTGCAACGGAGTCTTGTGAAACTTCGCATATTAACTAAATTTGGCAAGATAAATTGTTCATCAGAGGTTATTTTTTGTTTATATGAAAAATACGAAATATTGTTGATATTGCGTGACATCGTCAAAATCTCATATTTTCATGAATTTGCAACGGATTCTTGTGAAACATCGCATATTTACTAATTCGGCACGATAAAAAGAGCAGTGAGCGCTTATGGTTTTTGATTGAATGAAAAAGTTCCGAAAAGTGTCACATCATCATACCAAAATAGCCTTGAACTGAATCGTCATGTGTTCATGCATTGCTCGTGTGCCAGATTCCAAATATAGCCTTGCATGGTCACGTGTCCATGCATTCGCCTCAAGGTTGATTTACAAGAGTAATGTGAGCACAGTTGATTTACTGATAATTCATTTCTGGACACAAAATCGAATACAGCACACAAACTGCTTTTAACAGGCCTGTTTCCTCGAATATGATCCTTTAGCATTATGGAATTTACATTAATTTAGTCTTCTTCCGGCTTGATCGGTGCACAGTAACGATCAAATATCGTTTCACCCAGCGAGGACATATGACCCCGGGGGGGGCTACTTTGGGCATTTCTGGGTGGGGATGTGCCGCTGGAACACTGGAACCCTTAGCTTATACCAGAGCTAGTTCAACTGAAGTTTGCTACCCTATACTAGAGTAAACTCCCCAAATCCCCCCATCTATTGACACTGTTGAGGCTGATTTGCATAAATTTAGACTTGCCGATTTGATTTTTTTTTAT